TTTTTTTTTTTTTTTTTTTGTACCAGGGATCGAACACAGGCCCTTGCACTTGTGAAACAGGTGGAACCACTGAGCCAAATCCCCGGCCCAACTCATTTATTTTTAACTTATTCACTTTCTTCAACCTTATTTCAATCAATGCTGTCTGCAAAATCATGACCCTCTACAGGAGGTGCTATGGTTTGGATCTAGATGCCCCCCAAAGCCTTGTGAGATCATAGGCAGTGATTGGATTACAGGGGCATTGTATCTCACTTGCTGGTAGAAGGGGAGGGCTGGAAGGAAGAGGAAGGTCACTGTGGGCGTGACCTGGAAGTGTGGAACTCCTTTCCCGACCCCTCCCTTCACCTTCTGCTTCCCAGACACAGTGCCCTGAGCCACTTTTCCTCTGCCATGCCTCTACGCCATGATGTCCAGTCTTGGAGCCAGCTGACCATGGACTGTAAATATGAGTCAAAATAAGCCTATACTCCTCTGAATTATGGGCATCAGGTATGTTTAAGACAGAAGGTATGTGTATAGTATACAACAGGCTGAGTCTCTGTCACAACCCTGAGGGAAAAGCATAAGCAATGAATGAAGAGTGGGAGACTTGGTGTGGCACAGAATGCTAAGAGGGTTTCAAATGGGAGTCTGGTTTTATAGTCTCCTTGTGTCTCCCTCTCCCTGCTCTGTTTTTCCACCAGTTCTGAGCTCTGTTGCACCTGGTTATGCCCCAGCTGTACCCCATTTCCTCTCTGTACCTCATCTCCTATGGTTTTGAGGCCTGACCCGGGGACAGAGGACATTAAGGAGCTTTGTGCAATGTCTCCACATCACCCAAATGCAATTAAGAGTCATCCATCACCCAGAGGACATCCCAATGGACATGTGGTCAGTTAGCACTTGATAAAGCATTGCTCAATAAAAAGAAATGGTTCCAATGCAATTAAAACTAGTCCCAGCAGCAGTCTCAAACATTAAATCTTTCTTACAGAACATAAATCCTACAAATATTGGAGTCAGCTCTTTGCATGAATGGTGAGGCATGCAACCCAATTCTCATATAATTTATTTATCTGGAAAGCAACTTCCTCACTTTGCATTTCCTAATTTGCCACACCGGATTCAATCTGCCATTGGGTACTTGCCAGAATTTCTTTCATTGTTGTCTTTAGCAATGGCTTCATTGCTGGCTATGCAGGCAGCGGCAGCATTCGGAACAAGTACCCTTGCATTTCATTCCATCTTTCCTCTGCTGTTTAGAATTCCCTTTGAGAGCTCCAAGTGTCAACAGGAATGATCATTATTTGAGTCACCTGACGTGATACAAGAAGCAATGTCATATTGCCTGCCAAATGGGACACATTATTGCCAGCATGTGTGCCCTAGAGGAGAGACACAGGGCAATCCAAGCAGATGCTCTGTGAGCTCTGACAGCCAGAAGCTGTCATGAGGGCTTCAGAAGTCTTCAGTGAGCTGGGTCCTTGTCCTGGAACAAGGAAATGTCAGTGGCCCTCTTTGCTCAAGGCAAAAGAATGAGCTCCTTCTGGCCTGAGGCAGGTTTGGACTTATTATCCAAAGGCTGTGGAAGCTGTGGGCAGCTGCCCAAGATGTGACCGCCCCCCGGGAAGCCACAAGGGGAGGGACAAAATGGCCATGGGCCTGAGTCCTTACGGGAAGGGGTCTCTAGCACCTTGCACATCCCCACTCCCCTAAGCCACTTCCAGTCCAAAGCTGGTGACACAGCCTTTATGCCCCGGTAGCCACCTGTCCGTCCTCACACCTCCCAGAGCTGAGCCGTCAGTGCTGGCTGAGGCTTCTGCCTGTTGACAACTCTCTATATCTTGAAAAAGGCTCCAGTCTGGGCTCCCAAGCTCTGAGAGAATAAGGCCAGGGGCCTAATGAAGAAAAAGTAGGGGAAAGGCTGGGGCCACCAAGGCTTGAGGATAAATCCTGAAACTGATCATCCGGGCTTCCACCAGGCCTGAGGTCCTCCTGAGTTTTCCTTGTTATCTTATCAGCCCTGGTCTCACTCGTACATACCCAACCTGGCCCCACTAACTAGCTTCTGGTTCCTGTCCCTCAACACACCCACCCTCTGAACCTTGTGGCTGCCGCAGTGCCCTAAGTCATCTCATCCCCTCCAAACGCCCCTCCTCTGACCTCCTCCTCAGCGTATGTTAGCCGGCCTGGGCTCCGGGTCTTCCTCGGTGAAGGGTGAGTTCCAGGGGAATAGGAACGAGGGCGGTTTTCAAAGCTCCAGGATCTTGGGCCTTACTCATTCTCACCACATTGGCTGACATAAGGTTTTGTGTGGCTCTTTCACTAAAGTTTTCTCACCTTTTGCTCTGAGGCCTCAAAGATTAGTTGTATTGGAGGCCACCCTGACCGAGCAACAGCCAGGTCGAAAGCCTCCTTCCCCATTACCTAAGGCCCCATTACGTAAGGCCCCATTCCCTTTATAGTTCTTCTTAGCAGCTGAGCAACACCCACACTTCTCAGCTATTGGTCAAGCACGAACGACTGGCATAAGCCCTATCCAATGAAAAGTCCGAGCTCCCCAGGCTCAGGTTGGCACTTCTCAGGAGTCTGGAAAAGTGCAAGACCTTTCCTGAAGGACAAGAAAGCCCGCCAAAATCAAGGCCCAGCACAGGGTTTGAGGCTAGGGGGAGGTAGTGAGGGTCCCAAGTGCAACCTCACAGCCAAGCCTGATTGTGAACAGGCCCTGCCATCTCCATGCTTGGAGTCGGCCCTGCACAGTGTGGCCTAGGTTTTATATTTGACCTTCGCTTTGTTCCTTGACAAAGTTCTTTTCATATTCCACCTCGCCTAGGCCAGTGTAAGGGAAAAGAAATCTTGCCCTCACATAGGCCGGCGGCCTCATGAAGTGAGAGGCACAGTGGCGCCAGAGACCGAGGGGAACCGGGCTGCTGGAACTAAATGCTTGGAGCTAGATGCTAATCCCGGACAGCTGGAAGGCTCAGCTCCTCCATAGGAATCCAACGAACATCCTGGCAGCGGTCCGTGGGGCCTCTTCTGAGTGGCTTCGGAGCACTCGCTACTAGCCTGACGCCTGCTAGGAAAGGGGGAAAGGATAAAAAGGGCTCAGCGTGGGACTGAGGGGTTCCTGACCCTGAGGCTCAGAGCTGCAGGCCTTCACGGAAACTGCCCGACCCCACCAGCCTCCCCAGGAAGAGTGAACGCTTTCGAATGGGACCGCGGATCGCAGTTGATCCACCAGGTGGCAGCGCTTCTCCTGCTCAGAGCCTGCACTGTGCAAGAGCGGCCACCAGAGGGCAACACGCGGACCACCGGCTCCATCTGGCTGCTGGTTGCCTAGCAACTGTGACGCAAAGGGCTCCCGTTTCCACCCTCCGCAAGGCCTCTCAGGTTATTTCTAGCAAAACAGACTGTTGCATAAGGAGTGGCTTCAGGAATCCCAGAACTACCCCACTTTTAAGCCAGGAGAATCTAAAATCGTCCATGGGACCCCCAAATCCAGCCCCACCCAGGCATCTAGGGAATTGGGCTGCTGTCCCTACTTCTCAAGCCAGCAAGTAAAGATAAACATTTTCCATTCCCCACACTATGGGAGACACTCTGATTTCCCTAGCGGGTAAAATGGAACAACCCCTCCTTCTCTGCCCGCCCCTGCCCCTGCCCCTTCCTATGAAGAGTGTGTGACCTTGAGCAGACCTTGGGCCTCGCTCCTCAGCTGTACTTGCGGGGGGATGGAGGGGAAGGTTAAGGCTCTGCTTGTCTTGATTCTCCCCTTTCCCCCATGGATTCTCCTTCCCTCAAACTTCTGCCAGGTTTTGAGGACCATGATAGAGGAATTCTTCCAGTTCCAGATGGATAAGGACTCTGTGTGACCAATCCTGAAAAACCAGAGATGGACCCAAAGAAATGAGGCAGACACAAGACAAGGAGTGTGATTATAATAAGCTCAAAGCCTGTGCCGGTGTGGTCTGTGAGAGGCCCTGGGCTGGAGTCAGAGAGGTCACTCTGGCCTGGCATCAGCAGTGGCTCTGGGAACATCCCTGGGTGGAGAAGAGTGCCCTCATCCTGGCACAGGGCTCTGCCTGGGGCCCTGGTGCAGGTCTCTGAGGGGCACCATCCTTGAGGGTCACACGGGCATGTGCAGCTCATTGTACTCATCCTGGCCATCCTCATCAAAGTTTGGTTCAGCATCTTCTGAGTCCAACTAGAGAAAGGAGCACAGGTTTGGGGAGGCAGGGAGGCAGATCCATCCCCTCTAGCTCCCCATGTCCTCCAACCAGCAGCCCTTCCTATTCCCAGAACTTGGAGGGGCCTCACTATCTGCAGAGACCACGATGCCAGACTGAAGCATTTTCCTTGGCCAAAATCTGTAGGTCACGCCTGCTCCATTACTTGGCACCTCCCAATAATAATGGCAGCAACTACTGCACAGGAAGTTCTTTCCCAGGGCCATTTCTAGTTCCTGCAGTACTCCTCCGTATGCCAAGTTTGAGTACGGATGAACTGCAAAAAAGGCCCTTCCCCTAGGTGACAAGCAGGGCCCAAGATGGATTTCAGCATCCTACTTTGTCCCTCAGCAAGACGCTTTTGTTCAGGACACAACCTGTCCTCAGCAGCCCCTGGTTATCTTGCACCAAACCATCATATTAAATCCTTTACCAGGATTAGTATTTAATCCTCCCAAGACACAGTCCCATAAGGTAGAATCTATCATCAGTACCATTAAACAGATAAAAATAAGATTTCCAAAGATTAGATAGCTTGCCTAAGGTCAAACAAACCATCAGGTGGCCCAGGAGAGACTGAAACCCAGGTATCTGATTCCACTGCCCAACCCACCCCACGCCCCCATCCCTTACCGCCTGCAGCTCCCTGTCCTGGAAAAGCCTGGGCAGAAGACAACGCCTCAGAGGCACTGTGAGCAGCAGCAGGAAGGGAAAGGCGAGAGAGGCCGCTGTGGATTTGACCACCCAGAGCAGTGCGATGCAGCTCAGCTGGATGCAGGTGAACAGGTGCATCCGCCACGTCTTCACCTGGGGAGTGCGCATGGGCCTCACCACCCAGCAGCCCCAGTCTGCTCCCACCCGCACCTTGTGGGACTTGGCAGCCCAGGTCCCAAGTAATCTTTCACATTCGTCCTTTTCATCTCTGGCCCAGGGATCTCTCTGGATCCTCTTTCCATCACCCTGTCACCCATCTGCCCTCCACCATGCCTCCTGGCCTGACCTTGGTCACGTAGGGTTGCTCAGGATGGTGTTTTGCTGGCATAAGGATGAGCAATAGACGCTGGGACAACTGGATACCAGACAGCGACGTGACCCCCATGTACAGGAAAATCCCAAAGAGCACAGCCAATGGGATCCGGCGCAGCACAGCCCCCATGACGATGGACAGGCCTGGAGGAGGTGATACAGACCTACCTGACCCCTCAGACAGCCCCTGTGAACATATATGGGCCTAGGGACAAGGGAACAGGGACCTATCTGACCAATCAGCTGGGCATCATGTGCAGGAAGAAATGAAGCAGGGTAGCGAACCAGGAAAGGAGTGTTAGGTGGCAGATGAGGGGTAGGAGGGACATCCAGACAGGATGTACTGCAGACTCAAGAGGGCACATGTATCTAGCCCAGAACAGAATTTCTGTCTGGGGAGCCCTGGAAGGCAGGTCTGTGGGAAGGCTGGGCTCACCCACAAGGCTGGCGATGAGCACCCCGGTGACCCGCTGCTCCCGCACCTCCTGGATCTGGGGCTTGTCACCGGGGGCGATGGCAGTGCGCATCACGGTGAGCGCATTGACATGTGTGACTGAGCGGACAGTGGCCGCGGTGAGCCAGGGCAACCCAAAGAGCCCGCAGAGGCCACCCAAGGAGCCAATCAGCAGCAGGTCAAGGTGGAAGCCGGAACCCTTGAGCAGCCTTCGTGCTTTCTGGCTGACAATGAGCCTGCAGAGAGACAGGATTGGGTGCCTGGTGGGGCCTACAGTGGGTGCGTGTACACACACACACACACACACACACACACACACAGACACGCACGCACGCACACGCACGCGCACAGGGACAAGGATGGGGAAGGATGTGCAGCCCACAACCCTCCCCAGGCCTTGCCAGCTTCCTCTTTCAAGTTCCCAAATTGAAGTTCTCACATTGCAGCAAATTTCAGCCAAATTGTCACACTGTGAATATTTAAAACACCACAAAAGCCAGATGCCAGATCTCACCACGTTATTTTGGTTTAACCGAAATGAGATACATTTGAGCATCCCTGAGTGAGAGAACAGCCTGTCAGTGTTCTGAGGACTGGCAAGTGCCACCCTGCAAACAGCGGTGGAGACAGACTGGTATTACGTCAAACCATCGCGGGAAAGCCATACCCAGCCCGTGTGCCCTGCCCCCACCCCAAGGCCGCTGCTCCCTGAACTTCCCAGCTCCTCCTCTTGCCCTCCTTCCAGGGACACACTCCCCTCCTCCAGGCCTGGCACAGTCCTCACCCACCCAGCACCCCAGACCAACAGGAATCCCCTCCTTAACCTGAAGCCTGAGGCCCTGGCCAGCCCCCTTTCTTCTCCCCCAGGGTCCCCAGCCCGCTCACGCTGTGATCTGTGTCTCCATGAATATCAGAATGAGGACCAGGAGGGCGGGAACAGCCGCTGCCACCATCATCCAGGGTGGGAAAGGACGGGCACTACCCAGAGGGGGGATGAACCATGTGCGCTTATGGGGGGAGGTCACCGAGAGCCCTGTGGGCACTGTCAGCTTCTGCGGGGCAGGAAGGAAGACAGGGTTCGGGGACACAGTGTCCCCAGGCAGAAATCCCACACAGCAGCTACCCCCCCCCAAGCTCTGTGTCCCCAGTCTACAGCGGCAGAAATTCATTTTGTAGTAGCCAAAGTCACTGTGCTTTCATGCTTTCATGGGTCTGGTAGCAGGCAGAGAAATAACACACCTTCTCCCCGAGTCCCTGAGCACTCAGGAGGCCTGGCATGGGGAGACCAGTCATCCCACCCCCAGCCACCCGTGCTGCGCCAGATTCCTCCCTCTCACTCCCACACAGCACCCTCGGCTGCACCAGTGTGCTCCCAGTGTGGCTCCTGCAGGCCACCCCTCCACTAGGACAGCGGGGCTCTGCAGGCCATGGAGATGAGCCCTGGTCCCAGCCAGGGTGAGAAACAGCTGAGGCAGAGGCTGGGCTCACCTGGGTGTAGGTGTCTGTGATGGAGTAGTCCACCAGGACCATCACCAGGATGGAGATAGGGATGCCAAAATCCCCGATGAGGCGGCGAGCCTACAGAGGGGCCAGAGGGGGCAGCTGAGCAGACGGAGGGCGTCTCTCCAAGCCCCTCCCATTGGTGACAGCGGTGCCTAGAGCATCCTTGTCCCAGTGAAACTACGCTAGGGGACAAGGAGAAGTGCCTGAGGAGGAGGTTTCTGCTGAGGTGGGGGACACTCATGGTCTGGGCCCACGGACTCTCAGGTTGGAGTGCAGCCTGACAGTGACGGCAGGAATCAAGGGGCCCACGGGGATCCACGCCCAGCAGCCACACACCTTGCCACCCAGGAAGCGGCTGTTCCTGAACTTGCGCAGGAAGAAGGCGATGAGGAAGGTCCCCAGCATGAGGATGAGGGACAGCAGAGCCGTGTTGGGTTGGTTCCGAGGGCCGGGTGGCCCCTCAGTGGGGGGCAGAGCACTGCTGTTCAGCTCCAGGCCGGCAACCAGGGGCCCCTCGGGGGGGTAGAACGGCAGCAGTGGGTGCTCTGTGAACACCTGAGCGTGGATAACAAAGACACCTTGTCAGATACCTGGGCAGGCGACCTGATTTCATCACCTTAGTGCACCTTACACACCTTCAGAGACAACAGTGACACAGCATCACACACACACACACACACACACACGTGTGAGCGTGCACTCTACAAAAGGTGACCAGGACACCAGCCCTTTAAAGCTGCCCATACCCCCACTCCATCACGCACTGCTCAGGTGGCTCCTTATCACTAACCCTCCCGCCACTGCCTAGCCTGGAACTGTCCCCCTCCAGGTCTGAGTCCCTCCTGTTCAGGGCAGACCCTCCCTGATCTCACACACCCACACCCAGCACAGCCCCTCTCCTTGTCCCCTCTGCCCCCAGTGCTCCATACCTCCCCCTCTGAACCTCCCTAGGACACTACCCAGGCCCAAGTCCACCCACCCACTCTGGATCGCCACCTTGTAGAGCTTATGGAAGGTCTCATAGATGAAAATGAGCGAGATGAGAAAGGCGAAAATCTCCTGGGTGAAAGGCGAGATGTAGCGAACCAGGAAGCTGCCTTCAGCAGCCACCAGGGCAAGGACAAACACCACCAGCCAGAGGCCAACCCACACGCGGCCAGTGAGGTACTCCAGGTCCTGGGCTTGGCAGAACTGGAGGCAGAGAGGGAGGAGGAGGTTGCCCACGGGTGGTCCACCCTAGACCTCCAAGCCCCGCAGGATGGGCAAGGGGAGCCTGAGACTGTGAAGACTATCTCCCGGCCTAGAAAGGGAACAGGGCAAAGGGGAGAGGACAGCCAGGCCCAGGGGTGTAGGGCAAGGCAGGCTTCACCTTGAAGAAAGCTTCTTCAAAGACGAGCAGTGGTCCAGAGAAGCCAACCACGAGCAGCGGCTGGGCCCCCAGCAGGGAGAAGAGGATGCCAAGCACAGCCGTGGACACGATCAGCTCAGACACCCCCATCAGCCCCTCCGTCTTCTCTCCTGGGACAGGCAGGGTCAGTGGGGTGCCCAGCCCAGCTCCTTCTATCCCCCCATCTAGCTTACCTTAAACTGGGGACCCCAGCAAAAGTGGGCCAGCCCCCAGAGTGACACACGGGCCCCTCCCCACCCTCAGTCTTCCCAGTGCCACCCAGGACAGCACCCCTAGCGTCTTTCCCGTGTCTCACTTTATAGTCCCCCAAAATTCCTGGGATCTGCTCTCTATGGCCATCCCACCTTTCTGCTCCCTCCACTCATCAGCTGCCTAAGGTGATCCCTGGGACACTGACCCAGGAATCTTACAGGTGACACTGGGTCCCCAGAGACACCACAGGAACCCCTAAGCCCCACCTCACCTAACAGCCCCCCGAAGGTGATGGCAGGACTGAGGGCTGCGAAGTAGATGAAGAGCACAGCAGCCACGCACTGCGAGTGCAGGGCGTCCCACAGGTCGCTGGGGTAGTGTGGGTAGCGGCGCTTCACATCCCGGACGAGGCCCCCAAACACCGAGCCCGTCCGCAGTAGGGGGTCATCTTCAGGGGCTGCCTCAGAGCTCCCCAATTCCAAAGGTAGCTCTGGGGGGACAAGGAGCTGCTGAAACATGGACCTTCTGCCCTCCTGCTTGGGTCCCTGGCTTTAGGCCTGCACAGCCCAGGACTGGGGTCAGGAATATAAGTCAAAGCCAGTGATGCCTGGACAGGGCTGGGGTCACAGGCCTCAGGCCCTAGGGTGGGAGAGTGTGTCAGGGGACACAGCCCCCAAAAGTCTGACCTTTCCCAGGGGCCACAAAGCCTCCGCGGGCTGTCATCTCGACTTTGGTCTGCTCGCGCTCCCGTCGCTTTCTCAGCAGCTCGCGCTGGAAGGCGGCCACAGAGCGTAGCAAGTCGCGGCCTTCGACCTCAGATGGAGGGATCACAATGCTGCCGTCCAGGAACTCGCTGATGGCGCTCAACAGGTCCTGCCGGTCATCAGCCTGGTAGGCAGCCTCATGAAACAGCTGGGGATGATGAGAAGACTGTGGCTCTCAGGAAAGGGCTGAGGGAGCCCCTGGGAGGAGATCTAGGGTGAGGTGGGGTCACAGAGCCATAGCAGAGTGGCTGGTTGGCCACCTACACCCATCCAGTCCAGCAGTGCAGTTGTCAAAACACTGGTGCACACCCTTGTAGGCCAGCAGGTAGGCAAAGGAGTGCCACCGCCTGACCCTCCCAGATTCACCCTCTTCCCTTAGGCCTACACTTTTCCACATACAGGATCGAAAGTGGTACAGGCTGTCACAGTGGGGACCTCCAGGGCCATTCTGACTGGGCAGCACCCATACCCCACAGACGGACAAATCTTCCCAATACGGCACCCGGCTAGAAGACTCTCCTGCCCAAGCCCAGGAGAAGCTACAGCAGAGGCCAGCACAGCAGCCTCCCATTCAGGTCTCATTACACTCAAGGCTCTGGGGTCTGGGCTTCCTCTCTCCCTGGGTCATCAGCCCCTCCCACTCCTCAACCCAGGGCTCCCTTTTCCAACCTGGGCCAACAGCTCACCTGACCACACTCCTGCACATGGCCTCCCACCCCGGGGTCTCTAGCACCCTCAACACCATGGACACCACTGTGGGCAGTGAGAGGGCCAGGGATAAACAGGGGCTAGGAAACAGGCTTAGAGAGCCCAGCTTGGGGGTACAGGGCCCACCTTGTCAGACATGAGGGTGGCAATGGAGCGCCCAAGCTCATGATAGTCCGTACTGGTGTGGCTGGGCCCCAGCATCACAAAGAGGAAGCGAACAGGGACCGGGACTTCTAACACAGACTCCAAGAGCACAGCCTCGCTCAGTCGCACAAAGGCTGCCGCTGGCTGCTCCAGGAAAGGCACACAGCCTAAGGGAAGGAGAAGGCAGAGGGTGCTGGGCAAAGGGAAGCAGTCAAACAGTCAAGGCAGGCCCTGCATAGGAGATCTGGGGCTTTCGTCCCTAAGTTGTGTATTGCACAAAGAAACCCCAACCTAAAGAGCCTCATTCACACATGTACTTGTTACAATTTACCAGTAGGTAGAAATTGGGAGTGTGGTGCTATATGGACTAGCACCGTCAAAACTGGATGGGAGGCTGACAGGGGATGGGGGGAAAAGGAGCTGGGGACAGGGGCCTCCAGCTAAAGCTCAAGACAAGCCGGCTGGCAGGCCACCATGCACAATGTGTAGACGCCACCCCAGTGCCAAGCCCTCCTCACCCACAAGCACGACGGTGGCCTCAGCATCTTCAGGGATCTTCTCCAGCAGCTTCAGGCTCTTCCCCCGGTGAGCATCTCCCCCGGGCATGTGGAGGGGCTTCTGAGGACGCAGGACTGGAATAGGGCTGGGACCCAGACTGGAGGCCATGGCAGGCCCTCCCATCCCTCGTTCCAGCCCAAGATCTGGACCCGTCCTCCAAGCCGTGCACACCTCTTCCCCATCTTATCTCAGTGGCTCCCTTGGTCTCCACGTCATTGCATTTATACCCTGCGTCTCCAGCCCAAGGACCCCTTGTGCTTGTCACCCACAGAGCCCTCATGTGCCTAGCACGACACCAGGCATCCAGCCTTCCCTATCTGCTCAACAAAGTCACTGATGACCTCAACTCAAACTGGAAGTCCTCTCAGTCCCCTGCCTCAGCCAGAGCAAGGTCACTGACCTCCTTGGCATCAGGGTCATGTGGCCAGAGCGGGGCTGGCTCCCCCAAGTCATCAGCTATAGTTGGCACTGCACTGTCAGGTCCATGGCTAGGGGTCGGGTGATGATTCCCCAGGACTGAGTTCATGCTGGAGCTCGATGGGTTTCGGGGGAAGAAGCCACTGTCCTTGTCATCATTGGGATGGCTGGCAAAGAAGCAAGGAAGGTTAGAAGGAGGAGGGTTCATGGTATACTGAGGTTAAAATGGTAGGAAGTGGACAACTGTGACCACCACCCTTCTGCCTCAGAGTAAGACCTTTCTAAAGGCTGAAGCTAAAGATTGAAGGTCAGTGAGCTCCTTGGCACTTTAGGTAGTCAAGAAAAAGCTGATAGAGTCTGCAATCCTGGAAGGGCAGCTGAACCAGAGAGAGACTCCTTGGGGGACCCCGGCCATACCTGTGTTTCAGGAGCAAGGTACGCAGGACACTGGCCCTGTCCTCCGGCCGGATCTGGTCTGACACAATCATGGTCTCCACCACAAGGTGTGCGATGCCCGGCAGGGTGGTCTGCTCTAGGTCCAGGAGGGCCGCTCCTAGGATACAGCCAGGGGAAGATATGTCCTGTCAGGCAGGAATACCACCCCTACACTGCCCTGCTCCCCACAGGCAGGCAGAAGCGCCAGGTGAGCCAAGGGCCTGAGGAACCCAGGCAGATACAATCGCATGTGGCTGGGGACAGCAAGGGGTAGAGCACAGGAGCAAGGGCAGGAGAGGAGCAGAGCCCCTCCTCACCTTGGGAGTTAATCTGCAACATAGATACTAAACACCTACTACGGGCCAGGCACAGTACTAGGCACAGATACACAGCCTGCCCATCAGCTTATGGGCTGCTCAAGGGATCAGACTCCACGATCCAAAAGTGGTGGCCAGATTCCGCCCAGGACTCTACAGAGCAGTCCCAGGCACTAGGCACCCTGGCAAAGGCTGAACCCTGTGATGGTGAGGAGGGGAGGCAGCCCAGGCCAGCCTGAGGAACCCTACCCTGGGCAATGGTCCTCCTGAGCTCCAGGAGGCTTCGGAAGGAAAGTGAGGCGACGTGGGGCTTCCCCCAGCGCTCTGTCTCCTCCTCCACGTCCTCTTCAAACTTGATCCAGCGGGCTGTCTCCCGCCAGTGGAGCTCCTGGCTGCGGTCCAGCATCAGCTCGTTCAGTTCCACGAACACCTGTGGCAGAAGCCAAGGTATGGGCTTGGGCGACACCGGGTGGGCAGGACAGGCTGGCATGGGGGGCGTGGCCAGAGCAGTGAGGAAGTTGCAGGCCCACACCCTGGGGATTCTGTACCTCATGAGGCCTCCGGTCCAGCTTCTTCTTCTTCTTCTTTCTGCGCAGGATGGGGGCCAGGCCACTGGGGCTGCTCCTCCCACCCTGAGTCCGTGAAGGCTTCTTCACTAGGTGCCGCCGCACACCAGGGTTGTCCTCTAGCCGGTGACCTGTGGAAAAGTCGGGCTTGGCAATCCCAGGAGTCCAGCTCAGGCCTGCTGTTCACGGCCCAGGGACTCCAGCCCCTGCTCTGCCCAACTGGCCTACGTGGTGAATGCCACTGTCACCAAGGGATCGTGCTGCCAGGACCACATAATCCAATATGGCCATTTCCTAGATTAGGAGACTGACTCTCAGGAAGGAGGAAGACAAGCCCAAAGTCACACAGAGGACCACTGGCCAAGTCCCAACAAAGAAACCCCAACTTAGTCCACATTCCCAGCTGGGCTCTCTAGCCCCTGCCATGGCCACAGGCCCCCAGGCATGGAGTGCCAACCCTTCAGCACCTTCCCTCGGCCCCCCACCATGGGAACACATCCTGTAGACTGGGATGACTCCTCTCCCTTCCTCCCACCTGCCCTTTCCCTGGTCTGCAGCTGGGGAGCAAATGGCTGCCCATTTACTCACAAGCAGCTGCTCCTGCCACGGGGCTTGGGTGGCCCCTCCTGGGCTCCCACAGGCCATAGTCCTCAAAATCCAGCTCAAACATCTCTAAGTCCTCTGAGGCCAGCAAGTGGTGAGAGCTGGGGGCTGGATTCCTCCCAAGGCTCTGGCCCTTGATGTCTGGAAACCCGGAGCTCAGTGCCCCATTGGGCTCCATGACCTTGTCCAGCAGGCTCGTCATTCACCCAGGGCCCAAGTCCTCTGCCCCTGCTCTCTCCCAGAATCCCAGCTCTCCCAGGAGGTGCGAGCCTGAGCAGCAGTGGTCTCTGTCCAAGAAGGGCTGGAGATGGCGTGGCCTCCTGACTCCAACCCTTCATGTCCCCAAGCCTGCTGCTTTCAGCCCCCACCCTGGGTCGGTAAACACACACTCCCCACGACCCATCCCATCCCACTGCCACTGTCGCCACTGCTACTGCTGCCATTGGATTGTTCCTGTCCCTGTCCTCGGGCCCTGGCAACTTTCCATGACGTACTGAGCTCAAAGCCCTACCCACCCCACCCCGTGCACAGCCTATGGGTCTGAGGAGGAGGAGGGCAGATCCAGTGATGACCCTGGCCTGGGCACAGAGCCCTGTGGGTGATGACAAGTGGCACTGATAAGATGGAAGGAATGTGCCAAGATCACAGCTAGGCCCAGGCAAGGGTGGTGGGCCGGGAGGGTGAAAGGCCTGGCCCAGGGAGAAGCTCAGCCTCCGGAGACTGGTTGGAATGAAGTAAAGAGCTAGGAGATAAGAGTCAGGAGAGGAAGACATGATACCCTCAAATGCCACGTGGGAGAGAGGCTGCCTTATTCCAGAGGTGACTCAGAGGACAGAAGTGGGCAAAGGGGAACAAGGTCATGAAGGAAAATCTCAACTCTGGCAATGAGAGGTGGCTTGGTGGAGTAGTGAGCTCCCTGTCACTGGCCATATCCCAGCAGACATAGGCACTGCAGAGGAGCTGAGCCCTGGATGGAGGAAAGCACAGGCCTCTTCGAGATCCCTGGGGTCATGGCGCAGGCCGTGGGGGCTGCCATAGGGTCTCACTCACTCTTCATGTCATCCAGGTCCGCGGAGCCCAGCATCTGGGCCTCCGCCTCGTCTGTGGGCACCTGCTGCTCTGGGCCAGCTGGATTGCCCAGGGCGCTGCCTGGGCACAGTCGCTCCCGCAGGTCATAACTGGCTGATGGACTCCAGGGCCGGCCCTTCTCCACAGCGATTCGGGAGGCCCGGGCCCGGGGGCTGGGGGAGCTGAGAAGGCAACACATAGCCTTGGGCTTGACAGGGAAAGGCAGCAGAGACCCCAGCTAGTGGGTTCTAGTGCCTCCCTCCAGCCCAGGGACCTGGAGTGGACACCAGGGTACTAGACACAGCCTCCCTGTTCCCCCCATGCTGGTCCTCCTGCCTCTCTGGCCTGCCTCCTGCCACAGCACCCCATCCTCCTCATTCCAACTCCCCAGTCCTCAAGGAGCTCGACCTCTCAGCTCTGCTCTCTCCGGCTTTGTCCCCTCTTGTTCTCTCCCCCTTGTAAGCCATGTGGATGGGCAAGGCTTCCCTGTTTATCTTGCTGTCTACATCACACCTGGGAACGTCACTCAGGGTCAGGAAGGAGGGAACTTTGCAGGAGCATGGAGCCCTACTGCGCTGGGCCAGTCTGGGTCCTGCTAAAAGGGCGCAGGGGCCAGTACCTGACAGTGTGCTGAGGACTCTGGTCTGAGCGCAGGGCCACTGAGGGCAAGGGCGTGGTGTAGGCTGCCCTGCCAGAGAGGCCTGGACTGTCATCCTCATCGCTTCCAATGGAGAACTGTGGACAGAAGGCCAAAGGCTATCTGGGCCCCACTGCCCACTGCCCACTGTGTACTCCTCCGTCCTCTACACCCCTCCCTCCCCAGCCACCCCTCTGCCAAGGGGCAGGCCCCTACCTTTGCTTTCTGTGGGGACTCTGAGGGTGTGGGCTCCACGGGTTCTGCCTCAGACTCCCCTTCCTCTTCCTCTTCTTCCTCCTCCTCCTCATCTGCTCCAGTTCCCCCCTCTTCCTGGATGGGTGGGGTCCCCTCGGAGGGGGGAGCAGAGGTTTTCTCCTTCTTCCTCTTCCTCCTGGTGTGCCGGGCAGAGGTGGGGGGTGGTCGCCGAAGCTTGTGGGGTGGAGGCAGGCGCACCGAGAGCGGGTGGTGGGTGTGGTGGGATGTGTGCCGGTGAACTGGGGGTGTAGGAGAGCCGGTTGAGGCTCCCACAGCAGAAGGGGGGCCCTCCCCACCCGAGGGGCAAACACCTTATTCTAGCTCAAGGTCTCAAAGAAGGGCACCCTAGTCCCTCCAGGGCTCCCCCAGCAGCTGACTCCACAATCATTCATTGTCAGGCCTGGTAGTGGGTGACAGGAGTGATGGACAAGGAAGGTCATGAAACGGAGGCTGGAGGAGGGCATGTGACACAGCAAAGAAGGGAAAGGAGAGCAGAGGGAGACACAAGGAGGCAGGGGACAGAGTGAGCAGCGCCAAAGGGGAAGATGAAGGTCACCGAAGGAGGCCTCCGGCCTGTCTCACAACATTTCCCCGGGTCGGGGGCCCAGCTCCCCTGGCAGGTGAAGAGACGATGGATGAGGGAGACAGGATGACAACATGGCATGGTGGCCCAGCACAGAGTCCAGCACAGTGTCCAGCACAGGATGGCACTGGGTGACCAAGCCCGAGGTGGGCGCAGTGATGGTGGCGATGAAGGTGATGGTGGTGAGGGTGGCCACACTAGGGGTCCCCGGGCTACCCACACTCAAAGTCCCGCTCGCTGTAGCTTCGGCTGGGCTTCTCAGGGTCCCAGGCTGGGGTCTTGCTGATGAGGTCCCCAAACCTGCTCACAGCCAAGGTCTTGCCCAAGTCATCGTCCTCCTCCGTGTCTGGACCCAGAGGGGGCTCCTCCAAGGGCACCCGGACCTGTAGGCCCACAGAGCCTCTCCTAAGGACCCCGAACCATGAATACCCACGCCCACTCTAACTCCATGCCCTCCTTCGGGGTCAGGGAAAAGCGGGCTCCTTCCTCAACTACGCTTGACCCTGCTCCCACGCCTGAATCAACATGGCAGGAACCACCCCCTCCAGGCTCCCAGGCCTTGGGAGGAGAGAGGACCACGCATCTGAAAAATGTCAAAGACCCCCTCTTTCTCCCTACCTCCACCCCATCTCATTTCCTGGATCTGGAGGTCCCAGGGTCGCCAGAGGTCACACTGGCAGTGCCCTCCACGGGGTCCTCCAGCTCCTCTTCCCCCACCCCCGCGCGTCAGTCACCTGGGGAAGGGGGGAGGCGCCTCCGGGCGGCGGGATCACTCCGTTGGCCATGGCTGGGCGGAAGGATCTGTCTCACCGAG